AAGATTTTTTAAAAATAGGCCAAAAAATTTTTTAAAAAAAAAAAAAATTTTTTTTTTTTTTTTTTTTTTGGAAAAAAAAAAAAAAAAAAAAAAAACACCTTAAAGAATTTGTACGATTTAATGTTAATAACATTAAAAATAATAATAATAATTTAGCTAACACACAAAAACTGCTTAAGACAGGTACATCTCAAAGGTTTATGATCAAGCTTTGAGATATTTTGTGACTTTTGATATTTTCAAAGTTTTTTAAAGGTTCCCAACTTCTAGTAAAATGATAATGATATAGTAAATAACAAACGTTCAAAGGACTGGAGTGGACAACCTATGAACGTTTGAGTTGTGTTGTTACAATAAAGCTTAGCTGCACAAGATTTTAAAAAAGGCCAAATACTACAAAAAGGTGAGATGAACTGTCACCTTTAAAAAAATAATTTTCCTTATACCTATATTTTTTATTTTATAGACTTTTTGAAACTAGTAAAATAAGTTAAAACTAGTACATAAGACAGTGTAATGTTTTATTATTATTATTATTATTATTATTATTATTATTATTATTATTATTAAATCATTTTAGAGTTAAACCAACGCAGAGTAGCTAGTTTACAATTTGACTTCAATAGATCTTATTTAAAACACGGCGGTGAAACGCAGAATAAGAAACGCATCATGGCTGGATAACTGCAGACGTAAATGCTGCATTTGCATACCAGATGTTGAAAGCAGTTTCACCGTTGACACTGTTATGTCCCGAACACCCGAATGCAGCACGACTTCTTGTAATGCACTTATCATTTTGCAGCCAGTCGGCAAAAACACGAAGGTTCGAAGTAGTTTTAATGATTTTTAGATTTTATTTAGTTTTAAGAACATTTCCTCTTTATTAAAAAAAAAAAAAGTTTCTGTTTTACGTTTTTATTTTATTCCTTTTGAACGGCAAATACTCTCATCTTTAATAGTCTTTAATTTATGTTCTTATGTAATATGCCTAATTATGTTTTATGTTAATATTGATGATAATAATGTTTAAAAAAACAAAACAAAAAAAGAAGCACAACTTCCCGTCAGCTGATGTTGCTGCATTGCAAAGATCACGTGACCATTTTCAACACGTGACGCTCTGGACCAGAAAGCGTCGACATGGCATCGGCTGCACAGTGAGTTACCAGAGATTATCTTATTTAATTATGTAAATATTCACGTTAAGTCACAAAATTCTAACTTTTGCTGTCCATTTGCCATTTTAATTACTGCCAGGGTGAGCTGCGCGCCGGAGCTGCTGCTAGGCAGAACTTTTAATTCCGGAATAGTAATACTTCGGGTCATTTTTCAGTCTGTATCTTATCTCTGTCTTTACAATAACAATAGTTTCAGTTTTAATTTTACGCTTGAAATGAATAGATGAGTGTAGATGTTCTACACAGTTCTAAATAATTGAAATAGTACTCTGTAGTTTTATGTTTATTGTTTTAACAGGATGCACATAGCCGAGGGGATACATTTAAATATTTTTAGCATTTCACTGGAATGTAGATTATACCGTCAAAGGTCTTTGACTTGTGCAAACATCTCTTATATTGGTATTAAAGCAATGCACGTATTTGCACTTTTCCTATAAAATAATACAGTTTTTGTAGAGCTAGAAAATCTCGAAAGGTATACAAATATCACAAGGTTTGACTGTAGTGTAGAAACAATTTGTTCACATGATCCAGGAAATCTTACACAGAGAAATACATAGGCAGCTTAATTACTGTTACTAAATTAGAATAAGCCTTATTCTTTCAGGTTGCAATAAAATACATTTGTTTCATGGATTAACCTCTGTTCTAGGTGGAAACATGTTGTGAGCTTTATCTTATCAGCGGACCTCGAGCTGGAGATCAGATTTATTTCCTAAGATCTATCAGTGACAAGTTTGCTTGTCAGCATCTTCTGGCTAAACTGTTTCTTTTAAACAGAACTGGGTTTTTATTGCCATTTCCTCTAATCCTAATTGATCATTAGGTGTGCCTATATTTCAAACAGAATGTCATCACAAATTGGTGAGAACAATTTCAAATTCCTGAAGTACTCTTTAAAATGCAATTTTGCCTTCTCTATTTAAAGTATTTCACCTGCAGAGACCAAAGAGGCTGAACACTTAGTGTAGATAATGTAGAGCCAGTGTTCAAGAGACCAAAGGTCACAGAATGAGTTGGAAATATTGTAGTGCCAGATGAGAAACAGAGATGTTAGAAAAATGTTGATTTATCTAAGTGTATATCACCATCGCATTATGTAGTTATAATAGTGTTATTACATTTTCTAATATTGCATAGAGATTTAGAGATAGGAAGTCTGTATCATGTTCATTTTTGTAAACTGGCTTTAAAACAAACAAACTTTAAAATGTACAGAAAATGTGCATATTTATGAATAAGGAACTATTAAATTTATTTAAAGCCATGATTTAATATCACAGTATAGATATAAATATAAACTGACTAAGTAAAACTGTGACTTGTCTAAATACCTAGTCTTATTTTTTTATTAAGTAATTTTATGGCTAAACCTTTTCTTCAATGCCTTTTCATGTTTAATTATTATACAACTGAAACAGAAATGAAACTTTAAAGATGTTTAGTCTTCAACTAATTATACTGCATGTCAGTGTTTTTAATGGTTTGCCTTATCCATGAACTACATGGATAAAAATAATAAGAAGAGTCAGTACGGTTGTCGTTTTGCAGGTGGAAGACAGACTAATCTTAAAGCTAATCTTAGTAAAAACCTATGTATTTCAGTGTGACCAGGCACTGCCCCACCCTGACCTTCCTGAGATGTATCTTCTTGTCCTTTCAGACCCATCTACTGGCTGGGTAATGACACCCTCAGGGTGTCAGCTGCCCTTTTCGCTGAGAATCGTCAAAGATTGTGCCTGGGGTTGAGAGCTAAAGAGGGTTTACTGCCAAAGTCAGTCGTGTTGCTGCAAGGGGGAGAGCAAACGCAGAGGTACTGCACGGACACCGACGTCCTCTTCAGGCAGGTGGGTTGTATTTTTGCATTTATTTATCACTTTATAATCTGTTTACCATCTTTGTGAACAGAAGATAAAACATCTTCTTGTTTTTACATTTCTGGTTCCTTTTCCTGTGCAGGAGTCTTTCTTCCACTGGGCTTTTGGAGTGACAGAGGCTGACTGTTTTGGAGCCATAGATGTGGACACGGGAAAATCCATTCTTTTTGTTCCTAAACTGCCTGAAAGCTACGCTACTTGGATGGGGGAGTAAGTCCTAAAACTCCTCAAAGAGTGCCAACACTGTGCAGAATACCACATTTGTACATTCTACATGTTTTTTGGACTTTGTCAGTTGTTGTGCTTGCATCTGTGCACAGGATCTTTCCTAAGGAGCACTTCAAGGAAAAGTATGCTGTTGACGAGGTGCAGTACACCTGCGACGTAAGTATGTGTTACGTTTCCAGACGTGGCGTTTTAGCATGACGATATATTTAATGGTGACAGAAAGTGAAATCTGTTTGTAGCTAATCTTAATACAAATGATCCAAATCCAATAACTGTTACTGCAGGAGATCAGCATGCCAAATAGAAATGACAGAGATGAAAGACACAGGGTAATATTGAAGAATATGTTTGACTCGTAGCTGTATATGTATATGATTCTTCTTTTAAGCCATGTGCAAGCATTTTTATGAAAATCTGGGAAGCTTGTATTTTCAGTCCTCACGTTTCTGAGCGTTATCTGAGGTAACGAGGACAAGTGCTGAGGAAGGCAAAAGATTCAGCAGCTTGTGGTCGTCCACAAGCTAATCATTAGCTCTGAAAGATGTCACAAGTTTATGGACTTTAAGAGCAAAGTTGACAATGGCTTCTTCTTTCAAATGATTAGCTGGGCTGGTCGGGTTCGCCACAAAGTCGTCAAACTCTTCATATTACAGAGATAAAAAGAAAGAAAAACATATGTCCCTTGCGCGTACCTTTCTAGGCATTTGAAACGGCAGCATACACAGTTTTATAACATTCTAGAACAGCTTGCCATTAATTGTTTTGAAAATGCTGAAATATTTTGTGTCAAGAACGTTACGGCTCTGAGAATCCATTTGTAATTCACATTTGCTCCATACGTACAAAATGTATGTTTTCAAATGGCGCAGCAATGACCCTTTAATTACATTTCTTAATTGAAAGTGTGCGCTTTGCAAATGTTTGGTCCGCGCCGATAAAGACGCGCTCACCTTAAGATGCCGAATAATTAATTATAATTAATTTAGCAATTAACTTATCCACTTATATAACAAACATATCTAAACACTGAAACATACACAAAATAGGAGCATGTCATAAGCAGCTCACAATGGTTTTTTTTTTATTTTCTTTTCCTTTGTTTTACTTTAGTTTTTAGTAATTTATGTCTTCAAAGAGCTGACAGGATTTTATGCTCTGCAAAGAGTTTCATTTTGTCATTCTTGTGTAAATGGCAACATTTATAGCAAGATAAAAAAAAAACCTCTTCTCATATTATTTATGATTATTTATTATTTAGATATTATTTATTGCCTTCTCCAGCAAACCCAGGCAACGTGCGGTATGCTGCGTCTTAGTAAGGTCAACATGACATTCTCAAATCCCACCGCAATGTTTGAGAGCATTGAAACAAGAATTTGTTTTGAGATGTTTATGCTGCTGGCAGAGTACAGCAGACTCTCGTCATCAATTGTGGTGCTTATTACTGGAAAGGCCACAGCGTCAGACTGACCTTTTTCATGAGGACTGATTCTTGTCTTTCTTGAAGCTCTGCTGGGAGTCTGAGTCTTCCAATTATTATTTTTTTTTGTAGGTTGCTCAAGTCCTGTCCAACATGAAGCCATCAGTTCTCCTGACACTGGTAACTATCATTTAATTAACAGGGTTACGCTTTATGATGTACGCATGTATTAGATACTTAGCAACTGTATTAAGGGTTTAACGTTATACATATTTGTACCGAAAATATTCAGTACAGCAAACTCCAGGCTAACCTCCATTAAAAAAAATAAATAAAAATCAAACCAAATCTTCAGTCAGTTCTATAATGGCCCCTTTTTTTATTTGTTTCCCTTGACTGAAGAGAATCAAAAGCAAACATTGACTTTAAAACTGAAGTACACCTACTCTAATAATTGTTTTATACTGTTTGAAATGTAATACTTTTATTTCGTTTAAAGCGAGGACAGAACACGGACAGTGGGAGCACCTGCCGCGAAGCCTCCTTTGAAGGAATCAGTAGGTATGTCTAATTGGTCGTAATTTGCATTAACAGGATTTACCTTCTATTTCTTCTATTTGGTTGAAATTCTTGATCAAAAGAAGAGAAAACTGTTCGCTAAATTAGAGAAAGATCGATCCTTTGAAATGCTTTTCTCGAAGGCAAAAGCGTTCAAAGTCTCTGTCCCTGGAAGTCAGAGAAGTAGAGCCCCGATATGAGTTGCACAAAGCTTTTTACACAGTTTTTATCACCACATCCTCCTTACACACACACACACACACACACACACACACACACACACACACACACACACACACAAGTATGAGATGAAGAACAAAGGGAAAACCCAGCACATGTCCCTAAAAGATAAACAGCTCAGCATACAGAGGTACAGGTCAAACCAACATCTGCTTAAACACTTTTTCGTTTTCTGTGATGACCTTTGGTTGCACATGTTTCTTGCACTTTGTTCTAGACACTCGTTTGCACTATGAGCCAATTAAATACAATTAAACAAACACGTCTATAAGAATAAGAAATCAGACAAATGTATAAATTTTTCCTATTACGGCTGTTTTCCATTCGTAGCTAAACATACATCAGTGTTTTACATACGTGTTAGTGACTGTAATTAGGTAAACATCGTTGCTTTTTATTTGTTAGGTCTCACTTTATCAGAAATACGTTTCTTGCCTGCATGTGTTCGTTGTGTTTTCTTCTCACAGATACTTTGTGTGAACCAGTTGTACCACATTACATTTAGTTTATGGTGCACTTCTTTTTTTACAGCTTCCAAGTGAACAACACTCTCTTACACCCAGTCATTGTGGAATGGTGAGTGTGTCAAACTGCATTTTTATACCGCATGACTGAGAATGGTTGCCTTATGAGCTCCAAAATGTTTCTTCAGCAGAATTCTTAAACAAACACACATCCTAGGGATTTTTTATTTTTTTGTCTGTGGTTCTTTTCAGGGTGGAAGTTTTCTACTTCTGCTTCTTTCCTCTGAGTCAGAAATCTCTCTGCATGGACATAATGATCTACGTGCTCGCCTGGTTGTCCTTGCTATTAGAGTTTGAGCCCCCCAGATGAATCGATGTTCTCAGAAATGAGGAAGAATGCTTTTCAGTCACATCTCTTGGAGCACAGAGCCTGATTGAACCCTCTGCCTCGCTCCTCTTGCTGAAAGTAGCATTGGTGTCTTTTTAATTGGATATCTGTTTTTAGAATAGACGTCAGTGTTTCTACTGGTTACCCCTGCCTTGGATTTATTTGATTCCATTACTGCAGGGATTGCTAAACATTATCCCTAGCAATCCCCCAAATGAATGAGAAAGATATGAATTAGCTGTAATCTAAAGGAAGACTGCAGCACTGTTTTGTTGTGAGCTGAAGATTGATGGAGGTTCTTCCCGAGAATATTTGATTTAATTAATGCAGAAGATCCTGGGGTTAATGTTAGACATGCTGATTCACGCAGTTCATTTCGAACATGTACATTTTAAAAAGTTAAAAGGGTGAAGTTTATATTTAATTAATCTTCCCCCACACACATATAAGACACTTAAAATTGTCCCAACATATTTCCATTACAATGACCTTTTACATCCTGTGACTAAAACCCCATTAAATTGCTGTGAAAATAATCCACACATATTTGTTTTTAAACAGCTTTGTTTGGAAATTGCTATAATTTTAGCTTTGTAAGGTGTTTTAAAACTTCATGGATTAAAAAAAAAGATTACTTCAGGGTGTCCACAAGCTGTGTGATTGACCATAACGTGAACTGATTGCTCCTTGTTCTGTCTGGTGTTGCAGTCGCCTCTGTAAGACTGATATGGAGTTGGAAGTTCTGCGCTACACCAACAGGGTTTCCAGTGAAGCGCACAAAATGGTAACACGCTCCTTTTCAAGACAGATTATATGAGAGGATGGCTAAACTGGGGCATTAATGGAGAAGAAGTTGCACACCTCAGACCCTTAAAATAAAGATGCATCGTATCAAAAGGAGTTCAAGACTTATTTGTTTTAATTTTTTGATGCTAAAAGGGGAAGCAACATAAGAAAAGGGTACATTTTGTTTTTCATACATCGCTTGTGAGTTTAATTATTGCATCAGACTTAAAAATGTATTTAAGTATGATGAATTTAATTATTGGGCACAGACAGTTAAATTTTTCTGAAATTTTCACAACAGAGAGCTAGATCTGAATTATTTTTTTTATTTATTTCTTATTTTTCCCTGAAATAATTTGACGTACTTATAAATCAAAAATGTTAAAAAGTTGACTAGACAAAACACAAAAAGCCCCTAAGATGTCAATTAATGCCATTTTTAAATTGTTTTCACCTATTTTGTTGTGGGGTTGATGTTCCATTTTTAAAAAACAAAGATAAAGCGTTTAGTGTTTTCTGTGCATCTAGTGGGTGCAGATATTTAGTTTCAGATTACTTTAACCATAATAGTTTCCTAATAATTCATTCTTGATAGTTCCGAGGTTAATCTTAATGATAATCTATATTTGCCCTTTGCTGTAGGTGATGAAAAACGTCAGACCTGGAAAGAAAGAATATGAAATGGAAAGGTAAGTTGTAATTTTAGTCTTTATCAATGGATCTGCTGCTCTGCATTTGCTGACAAGACGTGGAAGCACAGCGTCTTGTGATGATAGATTCCTGTGAGACTTCTAGCTCATATTTGTCTTTCAATGTTATATTGTTCTATGGAAAGAGACAGAAAATATTAGCTACCCGTTTTTCTGTCTTTATAATCCCACCAAGGATGGTGAAGGTCATTGAAGTTCTTGACCGTAAAATGAGTTTTACTTAATGCAGACGACAGACGTTTTCACTGAAGATGACTGGGCTCAGATTGTTTACTTTGCTTCTCATTGGTAAAGCTGTGTTTTTGTTTTTATTTTTAAGTCTGTTCCAGCACTATTGCTACTCCAAAGGCGGGATGCGACACACTTCCTACACCTGCATCTGTGGAACGTGAGGCTTTATTAATAAATTTAATATAAGCTACTTTTGAAGTTTATTACTTTTTACTTGATGATGTTCATATTCAGTAGCATTATTTTCCTTCTCACATAAATCCATGTTTATTATACTTTTCTTATAGGGTATAGTGCATTTAAGGTATTTTTGAAGGAGAGTTACATTTAATTATTTAAATGCTTACAAATGAATCTGTTTCATAAACTCCTTAAAAGTCTGAAGAAGTAGTCTTTGTTTCCAGGGAACAATCTCTACTTTCTAATCTCAAACAGTATTCCAATCAGGGAATTGACAGAGCTTGACACAATCAATAATTAGTATGTTGTCGGGTTGCCATGTGGACGGCCCTACGGGGACGTTTCAGGGTGATCTGGAGAAATAAACACAAAGTGATTCATATGTCACTTTTTGAGTTTATGAGCTTAAAACATGAGAGAAAAATTGTAATGCCAGTTAGTTTATGATCTATAAACATTGCAGAATAACTGTATACCAGGGTGCTGAAGCTGTGAAATGTTATTGATTTCTTTCCTCCTCATTTGCTCCCACCAGGGGCAATAATTCCTCTGTCCTCCACTACGGTCATGCTGGGGCTCCAAATGACAAGACAATTCAAGATGGAGACATGTGGTGAGCAGACTTTAGCAGTTTTTCATCAAGCTACTGATTCATGACTCACAATTTGTTTTGGAAGCATTTAAAAAATTATCTTAAGACCTTGGCTTCAAATTGCCTTTCTGTTGTTTTGCAAGATTAGCCACACTGGAAACTCAGAAGAACTTGAAACCTAAAACCAAACTACAAGAAACAAATGAATGAGTTATGATGTTGCTTTCCCTTGCAGTTTGTTTGACATGGGAGGAGAGTACTACTGCTACTCCTCAGACATAACCTGCTCCTTCCCGGCCAACGGAAAGTTCACTGCAGACCAGAGGGCAATCTATGAGGCGGTCCTAAAATCCTCACGCGCCGTCATGGCTGCCCTCAGACCAGGTTATCATCTTCAGTGATCCTAAGGACAAGTTACCGAAAGAAAATGTGACCTTTTTATTATTTTAGAAACAATACATGACAGAAAGTCTTCACATATTCCATAAAGTACAGTAATTGTGAAACATCCTACTTAGTATTTTTTTTTTCATTCTTTTAATGATTTTGTTGAACAATCATTAAGTATGCACCTTTACAGTACTACTGCTTTTGTCATTGAGCTAGAAAATCTACTTAAAACGCCAAAAAGGTGGAATAAGCAGGTGATTGCAAGTCCTGAATCAACATGTATGATTGCTTAAGGGAAAATCAATAACATTCATATTTATGCTATGAATGTTTGAATAGATACAATGTTGCTTTGCTAAAAACAATACAGGTGCATATCAATAGTTAGATTATCGCTAAAGACAAGTTAGCAACTACAAAACATACATAGTTTCTTAGTTTCATTACAGACCGATGGATATATTTCAAGTATTTATTTCATTGAATGTGTATGAATATAGAAGATGACTGTTTATATGCATGTTGATAGAAAGCTGAGTGCAAGGAGAGGGTGTGGTAGAAAAAAAGGCACAATCTCTGGGATTGTGAGGCAAGACCAGAAAACAGGAGAAAAGGAACTGAATTGTTGCTCAGTGAGGAAGTACATTTTGCATTTCTTAACAAACAAAAGTCAAGAACACGTATCAAACTCGTGGTCTGCCGGCCAAATCTGGCACACCAGGAGTTTTTATGTAACTCTTTAGAACCTTTGAGATAACATCCATACATCCATTTTTTTTACACCCTCGTCCCAAGTGGGGTCGGGAGGGTCGCCAGTCTCGAAATGTTTAATTTTTTTTTTAAGCCTTTTGGAGATTCTGATTTCATTTTCCAGCAGAACTTGCCCACACTGCCATAAATACTAATACATATTTCAAAGACCACGGCATCTCTATGCTTGTTTGGTCACAAATTATCCTTACATAAACCCTGTAGGAATCCGTAGAGTACTGACGAGAGGAGAGAGAGAGACACCAGAGCTAACAATGCAGAAGAGCTGAAGGCTTTTTTCTAAACAACCTGGGTTTTCTCTGCACCTGAGCAGAATCATAAGCTGCTTATGTTGTTTCTGTTAATTGATTTAGTGCTAATGTTTGTGCACTCCGCTAGTTGTATCATGAGACTCTTCTTCTGTTGTTTTGGGATTCAGATGCTGAAGAGTATTTGTTATCCTGGGGCAAAAAATGTTTCCAACAAAAAAAACAAAATTTTTTTAGTAGGTAAGGAGAAATAATCCCCGTCGATGATCTTTGTAGCAAACATTTGTAACTAGATCTTATTTTTGGCACTTCCAATAAATGACCAGTAATTCATTCAACATGTAATCATCAGAAAGATCTTTTGTTGTTGTTCCAGAAAACATATCTTCATCCATATGTGATAGCGTTTCAGTGGGTCTGACTCAAAAGGCTTTCTTTTTTTTTTAAAGAAAAGTGCGTTATATCATTATTTATTCAGTTTGAAAATAAACGAGAAGGAATTATATGCCCTTTAAAGAGAAGGACCACCACGCTGTGTTGGACATGCTTGGCAGGTTTTTAAGACTTCTTGCCATTTGTGTTGTATATTCTGTGTTTGGTGCATTTAAAGGGGAGTTTAATCATTTCTGTTAGCACACACAGCAAGCAGTCACAAAAAATCAGGGCTGCACAGGGGCAGCTGGAAGGACCCTGAGGCGGGGAAGGTATAGCTGACTGAATTCATGTGAAGACTAGAAGACAGTGTGAGAGGTATGAATCTCACCTTAGAGAAAATCTCATCCAGTGCAGAGTTGTTCACACTAAGTGTTAGTGACAGCAGCTCTGGCCCCAAAACTACCTCACCTCTACTTCCTCTGGAGAAGGTGCAACTTTTCCACATAAGTCCCCATGTGTTATAGTTTGATGGACGTCTAGATTATTTTCCAGTAAACAAAATCCGCTTTTCTATGCAACTACACCTTCTGTTCCTTAGTAGCCAAAATACGTTTGTTTTGAAGGTGTGAAATGGACTGACATGCACCGTCTGGCTGACAAAGTTCACCTGGAGGAACTTGTGAAAATTGGCATCCTGCATGGAAATGTTGAGGACATGCTGAAGGTCCACCTGGGTTCTGTCTTCATGCCGCACGGCCTGGGACACCTGCTGGGCATCGATGTTCACGACGTGGGAGGTTACCCAGAGGTAAGGGGG